CTCCCCCTTTACGTTGTCGTCAAGTTTGAAGGGTACTCGGGGGGGGAATGGTCGTCTCAGGAGAGGTATAGACGTTGTGTCCCTATTTCTCCCGTCGACACCACCTGGCAGGACGGGGGGACGCAGGTCAGGACGCAGCTGCCCCTTAGGCTCTGCTGGGCAATTACGATGCACAAGTCCCAGGGGCAGACTTTAGCCAAGGCCGTCATTGACTTGGGGCCCAAGGAGGCCTGCACGGGGCTTACTTTCGTCTGTCTCAGTAGGGCGAAGAGACTTGTGGACCTCATGGTAGAGCCCATGAGTTTCGACAGGATTGGTAACCTTGGAAATTCGCCGACGATGAAGGCTAGGCTGCAGGAAGAGGTTAGACTTGGGGAGTTAGCACAGAGTACGAGGGTCAAGTACACGGACATGGGCGTCTTCAGCGCCGTCGCGGGTAACCAATGACGTGAATTGCAAAGAGAAAAAGAAGAAGAAAGGGTCTCTTCCACCTCCCGCGGACGCACACGTCTGACGACAGTTACATCTATCAGCTGTCGCTCGTTTTAGCGACAGCTACTATATCTTTAAGGTTCGAAACCATCAGTTCGCGGCGGAGGGGGGGATACTTCCGGTACTGAAATCAGCATAAAAAAAGTTACACCGAATAACCTGAAACTTGGTGTGCACTTACCTGGGAGCATTGATAGAAAAATGATGATTGTTACAAGGCTCAAATCATCTTCTACCAAGAGGTGGCCTCGTACAGAATCCGACACAACACACAAGATAGCCAAGGAAATGTGAGGTTATCGCAATTACATCACCACTTTTTCGAGCTGGAATCTGAAGTTTTGACATGTGGTCGGTATTATTACAACCAAGACCTTGACTGGTAGAACTTTGTGTTTTTTAGCCCCCCTACACAAAAAAAGGGTCACCATTTGTCCTATAATAGGGCTACCTCGTTAAAAAAAAAAAATGGGTTCTTCCATTCAAGGTCTTGGTTGTACTATTACCAACCACATGTCAAAATCTCAGGTTCTACTTCGTAGAAATCGTGGTGTAAATCGTTATCAACCATTTTGCATGCAACTTGGCTGGCCCAGCTTGTGGTTGAGTGCCGTTTCAGGCTAGATATGTGCGATTTCGGGTTCGAGCGGAAGGATATTTTGGTTGTTATGTCTAGGGGCAAGATAGTTACCCATTCTATCTCACATCGTGTTCCCGTTCTTCCCGGCGTCCAACCAAATTTGTACTTTACCTTCTCGTCAAGAGTGTTTGTGCCGCGGAGGCAATCCCGCCCAACTGCCTTTAGAAGAGTCTGGAGATGCCTTTTCCCAAGCTTCCTCCCAGCCTGGAAAGGACGGCGGCGAAAAGAAAGAGCGGTGGGGATCTGGTAGCTGGCGAAAATACGGCGTGCAAGATGGCTGCTGTCCATGTCATCATTATTCGTCAAGCAGGACTGGCAACACAAAGGCTTCGACGGCAATAGGGCGCTCAGAGGTCTTAGTATACCTGTACGGCAGGAGTCGTTTTCCTTGCGTCGAGGTTGTTCGGCTCGTAGTCCGCCACTTCTTCGACAAACCAGTCCATGACGGCTTCCTCGGTCGCAGCGTCTGGCGAGGCGCCAATATCTTGGCTCCATCCGCCCCACGCTGTAGCAAACAACCCACGGTACCCCGCCCGAGCACAAGATCTCAACTTTGTATTGGAATACTCATCCCACTTAAAAATTGTTGCAGGTGCCTGAGGCCGTGGCAATACCCTTGTAACAGGGCTCACAGTGGGTTCGACGGGTGTCGCGACAAGACCCCAAGAAAAACCTCACGAGTTGCCATATCAACGCCGAACATATGTATCAATGGACGGCCAGACACCGAATGGGGCCTGGATGCACCGAACACTAAGGTGGTGGAATTACAGCGCTCTGGATCGTCTACTATCTTCAACAAGGCAACGTCGAGCGAATGGTTTCGTAAACCACGTACCCACCGCACAAACTTGAGCCAAACACCATGGCGCTAAGGGTAGATGTATTTCTACCAATACCATTGGGGTCCACTAACACAATTGCCCACAAACAAATTGGGGCGTACGTACACCATGAAGGATGGAGGGCTCAGCCATCCAACAAACCCGACTCAGAAAAGCGGCACTGACTGCCAAGGGACAAACCAATTGCGCTGTGGATCCTCACCCTCAGCACCACCCATGCCTGCTGTGGTGTGCGTGCCACGTTCTTCAGCCGTGTCAGTCGTGGGGTGGGTGCCGTCCACGTACCCATCCGAGAGTTGCAACGCCAACGTCCTCGCCA